ACAGCTGTTACGAGAAACACAGACACAGAAATTAAATTTAATTTCCCTGAAAAAAAGGAAAACGAGCATCGATTCTTTAGATTCAGATGAAACCATTGAAGCAGCACTTGTCTTAAATTGCGGACAGAACGTTCTAATGCAGGACAAAGCCCGGGTGTACGAACTCACCCTGGCGCATTTCACACAAAAGACTGATCCGAAGATCCAGTGTAAAATGACAGTAAACTGCGGGAGAGAAGAACACAACTTCCATTTGGATGGACAGAACAAAAGGTTTTAATGTGCCAAGACCAGCAATTTGTGTAACTCCATTGAGCTCTGAACCTCCCTGTCATTCATTTAATGCAGGAGGAACTATAGCTGAGGCCTCTGTCATTAGTGCTCACAGCTGTCCCTCTGACCACACACACGTGCCTGATGCTGACATTGTCTAAAGTTACAATAAAAAACACTTAGCCCTAGAAGAAAGGATGACAAACGTGGACAAAAAGCCAAGCGCAATAATTAGCTGCAAGCTCTGATAACTGTAATCTGCATCACTCTCAACAGACAGTCTGGCCCCTTTCCTTAAAAAGATGCATTTATCTTGCTGTTTAAAATGATACAGGAAAGTAGCCAGATTTAATTGGAAGGATAATCAGGGGATTAATTAGAAAGAGAGAGTAAGAGAGGGAAAGAGAAAGAGATAGACTTAGAAGAAGAAAATAAGTGATCAGTAAAGGTAAAAGTGAAAATCCCAACTAATTAAGTCAATTACGTCAACATAAAATGTATAATACAAAGTAACAGAATGTCCCCAGCTATTGTAATTCTTTAGAAATGTATCTATATTATTATTATTAAAAATATTAAATAATATTAATTATCCAAGTGTACCACCTTTATCATGTATGAATTATCATATGAAAAAAAAACTAAAATGTCTCTTTTTAGTTCAAAGCAAGAATAGAATTTCCAACCGTTTACCCATAGGGATTTTTTCTTAGTTCAAGAGTTATAAGCCATTAACTGAACCGAAACCCAGTATAACCAATTAACCCAATATAAATCAAAATACTGTATAAACTATACTGTATACTATTGGTTTAAAGATACTTATGGTGTATAGATTTGCTTGTTTTGATTCTCTGATTTGGTGAGATTTATTTATTTATTATTATTTATTTATTTTTGTTTTGTTTTAAAAAACAGGAGTATTGAAGTTTTTCACAAAGTATTCCACTGTTAAACAATTCTTCTTTTTTTCAATAATTATAATTACTGAACCATCATACTCATAGCTCACAGTGGATCTTTAAAGGTTTATGTTCTCTTTAAATATCAATTCCTCTATGGAGAAAATGAATGGGATTTTTACACCCCATCTGTTATGCAATATAAAGAGGACAGCCATATGGAATTATGGGTAAGGGTCAAAAGTAGGGCTGTGCAAAAAATCGAATGCGATTTTTATGCGCATCTCGTCAGTAAAGCCGCTTCTGGTGATTAGTAGTTAATCTCCAGCACGTGCTTTCAGATGGAGCACCATTTACTACACAGAGCCGTAGTTCGCTGACAAGCTTCACAAAATCGCGTTCAAAATCGGCAATGAATCGCCTCCATCTGAAAGCATGTGCTGGAGATTTACTACTAATCACAGGAGCGGCTTTACTGACGAGATTCGCATGAAAATCGCATTCGATTTTTTGCCCAGCCCTAGTCAAAAGTGACACTTTGTAATTAAAAATAAAAATGACAAAGTAAGATCAGTCCACTGTAGTGGATGTCATGTATCAGACGGCTCATACAGTTTAACCTAGATATCAACAGGCCTGATATGACGGGAAGCGTGATCAGTGCTGTACTTACAGCTGACCTCAGCAATGACTCAATGTGGAGGACTATGGGATCTCGAACCCCACCACAACCTGAGCTCTGTTCAACCAATCTGCCATAATCACACACATAACCCAAACCTCCTCCGCTCCCAAACACTATCATTCCCTGCCTCCAATCCCCTCTTATTCCCTCTCTCCATCTCTTTCTCTCTCTGCCTTTAAGGCTGGACCAGCAGGAGATTATCGACCTACTGTTCTTGTTTTTCTGCTCCTCTTTCCTGCAGGGAATTTGTATGACTGTGTGTGCTCATGATTGTTCTAGCATACACTAAACTTGGAATGTTGCAAGTTAATCCAAAAATTATTTTTAAAAAATCATGTTCAAGTTTACTAAACCTATAATTTTCCTTGTGTGTACAGTTAATTCAGTCACAGGTGTATCATGTTGAATTTCCAAGCAGCCCCCAAGCTTTATCATAACAGAGACCACAGTAACACCTCATAAAGGTGACACAAACAAAAAAAGATAAGTGTGTGAGAGAGGGAGTTTAAGTTACATGTAAGAGAAAGTGGTAAATTTTTTAAGTGATACAGGTTTGGTGTGTGTGCGCACAAGCATGGAGCAGATTCACCAGGCCCGACCGCAGAAACAGTCATGAGAATTTCTGCATTTTGTTATCAGTCATAAATATTAATGCGGACATCTCAACCACAGAGCTAGAGAAAAACTCTGAGAGTGGGAGAGACTGAGACTGAAAGAAACAAGCCAAAAAAAATGGCATGTCTCTCTGTTATTCATAGCAAAACAAACAAAAAAGTGCAAACACAGAGAAGAAAACCAAGTCTGAATGAGATCTGAATTTGTGCAAATATATTAAAACTATCAGAGCATTAAAACAGTTCACTGAGTCAATGATTTGAGGTTTATTCAACGAAAGATTAATCAGAATTATTCAAACGGACGACCTGCGAACCATTATGTGATTCATTAAAAACTGGATGAAAGATTTATTCGTAAATCAGACTACACTAGTCACACTTACGTCCAGGCATGAGGATGACACAATCTTGCCATTATTTTACATCACATTCATTCAAGATCACAACTGAGGTAAAATATAATTTGGTTTGCTGTGGTTATGTAGATTCAGCAGTGGTGCTAGTGATGCAAAAAGCACTGTGTTACATCACAGATCATTACATTTTAAAGCAAACTGGAATAAATCGTTCATAGTGCACATGTGTGCTTTAGTGGGGGGGGGCGCAGAATAACAGGTGGGACGAGAGAATGCATGTTCACTAAATAGCTTCTAAGTATATGCATGATTCCCCAGTAGATGTGATCCCCTGATGTTTGGGACTAAACAGAAACCAGACGACAACTCTCTAACTGGGCTAATAGGCTAATTGCAACAGGGTGAGATTATTCATTGGCAGAGCACCACAGGTCCAGCTCTAGTATTTATTCACGTCAAAGAAAACATCTTTCCTTTCCCATAAGACTTGAGTCGATGATCATGGCCTAGTTTTAAACCACACTTTCAACTGGTCTTAAATTATGTTTACAGCATAGATAAAGTTGGAGAGTGACCTAAAACAGTCTAGATTCTAGTTTAACATCTGTATTGATGTCAACACAGTGAATTTGAATTGTCGCAAAATCTGCGTGGCGAAATCTTTTGCCCTCACGTGAAAATTCCTAGATTTTGTCTGCGAAAATACACCTAACTGTACATGTGAACCTATTTTAGCTGAGTTATTAACAGACAGGGTGTCACAAACTTAACTATCCATTAGAGTATTTATTCACGTCAAAGAAAACATCTTTCCTTTCCCATAAGACTTGAGTCGATGATCATGGCCTAGTTTTAAACCACACTTTCAACTGGTCTTAAATTATGTTTACAGCATAGATAAAGTTGGAGAGTGACCTAAAACAGTCTAGATTCTAGTTTAACATCTGTATTGATGTCAACACAGTGAATTTGAATTGTCGCAAAATCTGCGTGGCGAAATCTTTTGCCCTCACGTGAAAATTCCTAGATTTTGTCTGCGAAAATACACCTAACTGTACATGTGAACCTATTTTAGCTGAGTTATTAACAGACAGGGTGTCACAAACTTAACTATCCATTGTATGCAAAGTTATCCACTATCCATAACTTTTGCAGACTAGGCAATTTAAAAGCTGTGTCCAGCTAATGTGATTGTCTAGCTCCACCTAAGCTGTGCTTCAAATCCCAGGATGCCATCCACTGACCCTTACTGCTAGTGAAGTGAATTTTACTGAATGAGATTTCAGATTTATAGCCATTGCTATAAATGTTGACATTGGCTGAGTATCCGCTTTCAGGTCTGAGTGTGGCATTACAGCAGCTTTGTATTGAAGTAAAAGGATTTGTGGGTAAAAACGTCATCTTGAATTTGCCAAAATATTCAAACAAAGTATTGGGATACTTAAAGTGTTTGTAAGTATGTGTGTGTGAGAGAGAGCTAGAAGCTTTAAATCCTGCTAAGTGCAGTCAGGAGTGTTCAAGGTTATAGAAAAGAGGGGCGAACCTCATCTAGGGGTCAGAGGTAAAAGGTTAAAACATGTAATAGTCACATAAATAACCTTTTAAGTGTTATTTTGATTTAATGCAGCAGACATGATATTTTCACCGAATGATAAACAGTGTATACCACAACACAGGCGGCATAAAACACTGTGTTGGGTAATATGAAAAAAAAATGTTTATGTCACAAAAATAAATGCCTGAGCTGCAAACCTGATGACAGGTTATCTGCGTAAGGGTGTTTTTACAGTACTAAGTGCATGCAGTGTTTTTCTGATTTTGAGATTTACAAGCTTCAGTAGTGTTAAAGATATCCAAGACAGAGCCAGATCTACTCCATTACACCGATTGGGCCATTTTGAGCCAGCATATCCTGATGTGTAAATTGTGTGTGTATTTTTGTACACACACAGTGTGTGAAAGTCCAAACCACCAATCCATCACATGTCATTGTTTATAATGTAAAATGTTCCTCCCTCTCTTTGGCTGTCCAAGCGCACCTCTCAGGCTGTAATTACAGTAAGTGAAACCCCTAAATTCTGGCATAATTTCATCTCTCCTTTTTTCCCAGCTTCCACGTGCTGCGTAAATCGTGATGCATTTTGGGCAAATGATAACAGTGACTCACCTGTGACTCTGACATCACATACAAGAAGTGCTGATCTGAAGAGAAGGCCATGTCTCGCAGGATCTGCCCATTGTCGACAACTTGGATGGTTTCATACTGTAAAGCGCCATAGGTAGGACCATCTACTCGAATCTGAAAGGAGAGAGAATAAATTGTGTTACTCCACCATTAATAAGCTACTAAAGTGAAAAGAGACAGAACTAAAGAGTTAGAGTAAAGCAGAGGGGAAGGGGGAAAGAGTTGTTAAGTTGTTAGACAGCTGTAGGGGACGTTACGTGCCATAAATTGCAGGTTCAGCAGAGAGCTGTAACATCCTCACACAGTTGGACTGCAGTGATAGAGGTCTCATGACTATATCTGAACATCTGTTGTTGTTGAGGCAAAAGTGCACACTCACACTCTGTTCCAGTCTTGATATAACTCTAACCTCCCTCCAGACTACATCTTCCAACCAAACACTCACTAAAGGGCCCTGTGAGAACTTAAGTCTTTATACCTGCCATTAAACATTACAATGCACCTGATAACCCATTACGACAGAATGAATCAGCAATTTCCTTTCCCTTTTTGACACTAAACAGTTTAGGAGGTATCAAGTCCATTCCCATTGGAATCAACCACTTTATCACTGCGATTATGGCCTGGAGTACCATCAGACCACAAGTCCTGTCAACCTAAGATCATCTTACCACAAGAGACGTCTAAAATAATTTTGTGCCGCCACTTCAAAAAGTCCCTCCCTGAGTTTCGGTGATGATTCAAATGTTTTGGCTTTGCGCTCACTTTCTCTGGGGCTTTTTGTTTTGTATGCTGAGGGTCACAAACAAAAACCAAAAAAGAGGTTGAACAAAAAAAAGAGAACAGAAGGAAAGGGGCGGAAGAAAGCAAAAACCCTTCACACGAGCCAAAGCCTTCAGCAAGAGTGTTCTAATCTCCCCGATCGAGGGCTGGTTAATTTGGCTGGGATTGGGCTTCGGCCAGGAAGAGCTGCAGTGTTTGGGATGGCAGCGTATGGACAATGAAAGAATGAACTGCGGGAGGTTTTGCGGAGTCCTGAGAGAGATACATGGAGTGGTCCAACAGATCACTGGAGGGACCGGGTGAAGCAGATGGGCATTATCACAACTGTAGCTAAACAAATTAGCCACAAAGGATGGCTACATGGAGATGCTATAGGGCTGAGGGAGAAATAAAAGGAGAGTATCTGATCACAGAGAGAGGAAAATAAAAACATGGATAAATCAACATGCTAATAAACACGACAAAATACACTATCAGACGCCAGAGTGATGTAGGACTATTGAGAGTCCCACTTTAAACTCAAGCAGCAAGTACATCAGGTTTTATCAATGTATGAACAATATTGGTTTTATGAACATTTTTTCCCCTCATGTTTATAAACTGGTGAATTCCTAAGCCTTGAACAAAACAACATAATTCTCACTTTCATTTCATTATCAATTAAAGTGGATTGAATTCTTTAAAGGGGTAGTTGATTGCGATTTCACTTTTTTAATGTTAGTTAGTGTGTAATGTTGCTGTTTGAGCATAAACAATATCTGCAAAGTTACGAAGCTGAAAGTTCAATGCAAACGGAGATATCCTCTTTTAAAATTCTGGCAGTGTAATGCCTACAAAAACGGCTGGTTTGGACTACAAGAAGTTACTTTTCAGGTTCACAAACCCAGATAAACCCCGCCCTCGGGAAAAGGCAGCAAAGGGGGCGAGGCCATGCTGTGCTGCTTAAGAGAAGATGAAGAGAAAACTGGAGGTGCACGTAAAATCTATACATATATGAATCGCGATTCTGTCTTCTAGCGATTCTAATTGATTCACAAATTTCAAAATCAATGTTCTAAAGCAGTGGTTCTTAATACTGTTCCTCGTGTCCCCCTGCTCTGCAAACACTCTGCATCTCTCTCTCTCTCATTCAGCTCAGCTCCAACAATGAACTGTTCCAATTATACACTTATTTTCACATAGCTATGAGAAGCGTTATACATGGACGTGCGTGCAGTTGCCGTACTGTATTAAAGCTTTAATCAGGATAAAACTGTATATTAAAAGCTAACAAAAGCAGTAGCATTTACAAATAACAGCATATCTAAAAGTATGAGACAACAACAAACAAAAAACATAGGTCTACCATTAAAAGCTGTGCTTGCACAGGTTCTGCACGATCCTCTTCAATAATATCCTCTGCTTCTCAATCGAGATCAAACTGATGAGCGATATTAGCGACGCCGTTGTTCAATTCAACTGGAGCACATGCCGCTGAGGTGAGGGGCGGGACGGTTAGACGCGCACTAACCAATCAGAGCCCATCGCCTATTTCTGAGGGTGGGGCTTCATAAAAGCAGGAAATGATCAGCGCGTTTCTCAGAGAAGGGACAGAGCGGTGTGGAATAAAAGTAAATTATGTGAAAAATAATGTTGTTTTTTTTAAACGAAGCATTAACACATGTTAGACTGCACCCCATAAACAGAATCAAGCCTAGAAAAAAACAGAGAACCACCCCTTTAAAACCTGATTGGATTACACTGCTAATCTGTGTATCATACAATCATTTGGATTTAATTCCAATTCAAAGCCACGACTGACACCATTTCAACAGTTATTTCACCTTCAATGTCACACTTTCTGTTTGTGTTTGCAATATTTCTGATTTTAATATAAATACAGATTAAATTAAAATAACCTTTCTACATTGCATTACAATAACAACTGTTTGCAGTGTACTCTTAGAATAGGAGAGCTCTTTAATTTCAGAGTAAGTAAGTCTGCACATTTCTGCTCTGTGTATTGTGTTCTGTGGGACCTCAGGTGTACAGCCAATGCTCATTTTCAAAGCATCCACCTAGTGGTCATGGAATGTAACAACAATGGCCATTCATGTGAGACACACTATGTGAGGTTACACAGTAAATGACTAGTGATTAAATGTGGTCAAGGCTAAATTACAAACATTGATGTTTAATAGCTCTTATTCATAATTTACACCAAGGTCATTGTTTTATGCAATAAAAGTGCATTTAGGTTTTTTTTTTCTTTTTTAAATTCAGTATAAAAATGAAAATGGATGATTAAGTTAATGTCACAGCATTTCTCATTTGTGATATAGGGCAGAGGTTAAAGCATCACACTGTCAAAGGGCAGCAGATAATGGCCATTCATGTGAGACACACTATGTGAGGTTACACAGTAAATGACTAGTGATTAAATGTGGTCAAGGCTAAATTACAAACATTGATGTTTAATAGCTCTTATTCATAATTTACACCAAGGTCATTGTTTTATGCAATAAAAGTGCATTTAGGTTTTTTTTTTCTTTTTTAAATTCAGTATAAAAATGAAAAAGGATGATTAAGTTAATGTCACAGCATTTCTCATTTGTGATATAGGGCAGAGGTTAAAGCATCACACTGTCAAAGGGCAGCAGAGATGTTCACAAGTCTTTAACTTGGAGTCTGAGTCAAGTCTGAAGTCTTTAACCTGGAGTCCGAGTCCAAGTCAAGTCTGAAGTCTTTGTTGCTGGAGTCTGAGTCAAGTCTCGAGTCTTTGGTCACGAGTCCGAGTCGAGTCTCAAGTCATTAAATGGCTGACTAAAAAAATCCCATTAAGAATCCTCATGTATTGAAATCTTCCTATTTATGAAGCTGTTTTATATAGGCTAGAGACAAAATATATGATCTATGATCTGCTTTGTACAAAAAAAAAAAGTGTTAAGCTGTAAGGTTAACGTACAGCCAGTTACCAATGTTTTAATCCATTACCATGTTCAAAACAGTTTTTCTGTAATCAAATTCTATAATAAGAGAACGATCTACCATGACACAAAAGGAAATATTTGACACGGATATTACAAAACCATACAAATAAATTATTTCTTTATGATATAAGTCAGGGGTATTCAATTAAAGTTCCAACTGGCGCGGCCTCTATATTTTCTCCAAGCAAAGGTCTGGACAAATTTTTTTTTAAATATTGTATTTTGTATTGTATTATGTATTGTATTTTTACATTTAGATCAGGGGCATTTCCTCCGAGGAGGCAAGGGAGGCAGTGTCTCCTCTCCTCAAAAGTGGATGAGAAAATAATAACTATTACAAAAATAAAACAACGCAAATATGACTAAAAATGACATTAAAAGTCTAAAAGTCACTCGTTTTTATAAAGTAACACTGTCCAACAGCGACACCCGCAGGTAAAGTTAGAGCGGAGGCTTGCCTCCCTTCGGTCCATAGACTTTCTACAGAGACCCTAAAGCGTGCCGTGACTTTTCTGGAGGCTCATTGAGATGAATGGGGGAAAGTCTCGTGAAAGGAGGCAATGCCTCCGTCGTGCTATAATTGGATATGATCGTTTTTGATTGGTTGTGATTGGTTCGTGTGATAAATCCCGCCTCTTGTTTTCGTGCGAGCTCTCGGCCTGAATGATGAAAATGATGGCGTTATTGACTAATTATAAAGTAAGTAAACAACTCTCCTGCTTAGACATCACTGCTTTCTGTCACATCAGAATTAAACACGAAATGACTTGAAAACGTGATGACTGTCAGTTTTTAGTGAGCATTCTGTGATTGGTTCGTGTGATAAATCCCGCCTCTTGTTTTCGTGCGAGCTCTCGGCCTGAATGATGAAAATGATGGCGTTATTGACTAATTATAAAGTAAGTAAACAACTCTCCTGCTTAGACATCACTGCTTTCTGTCACATCAGAATTAAACACGAAATGACTTGAAAACGTGATGACTGTCAGTTTTTAGTGAGCATTCAGCTTGATGAAATGAAAGATGTATCTTTGTGCCTGTGACATATTTTACAGGGCTTTTATGACGATGACCCGAAAATAAGTTGACTATTAAAAAGAACAGCTGAACATCAGTTCACAAATAAAAAACGGAGTGTCTATTTACAAGTGCAAATAGCCCGCCTTTTTGGCAGAGACCATTTACACTAACTCCGCAATAACAGCTGCAGTGGCGCAGATGGTAAAGTACATGTTGAAGTCGTTTTTGATGCGATCGACCGTGGTTCGAATCGCGTTTTGCCTAACTTTTTTTCTACTTTTTCAAATCAGATATCACGTCATTGTTATTGTTATTATTGCATACTGTTTTATAATGTACTAC